AGAGAGAGAGAGAGAGAGAGAGATGGGGGAGGGGATGAGGAGATGACGGCTACACGTTAGGAAAGGTCAAAAGCGTGCAATAAGGTGTTTGTATGATGAGTGATTTTTCACCTCTAGAAGATTGTAACCTTCCCTTGTTGATTGATCAGTACTTTCCTACCAAAATGCCTGGAACTGGCGATATGTAAAATCTGAAAGATCAGCGAAGAGAAACATAGACACATTTTTTCAAACGTTGGTATTCTTTACTAAGATGTCATTTATGGGGAATATTCAAATAATTCGCTTTTGAATTCCTACATTTGGATTTAAACCTATTGTTGCTGCTGTGATGAGGCTCGAGCTCATACTCGTTGTATACACCGAGAAGCTTTACATCTGATCCAACTGCTTTACTATTATTCTTACACATTTTACTCTCTTTTATAAGTAGCAGCAGTATTCACGAAAAAGGCATCGAGGAACATTGCTGTTTTATCGGTGTTGATCTGAAAGACAAAAAAGTAGACAGTTTAGTTTGACATTATCTAGCTTGTGAAAAAACACCTGACATTTTGATTTAGGTGAATTCTACTTGTTGTAAACGTCAGTCTCCTACCACCTATGATGCTTTTTTACCCACCAAATGTATGAAAGCAAATTACATGCTCTTTTTATAAGGATGTGACATTATAACGAAGGTGAATCAAACGTAAGTCTAAAGAAGTAAAATCGTTACATGATGAATTTAGCGTCATGTGTTTGATGTGGAGTTAAAAAGGATTGACTTATTGTGACTATTAAATCTTTGCTTGTCCAGTTACGCAACCACCAGAGTCTCAGTCAAAAGTGTTGAACGTTTTGTTCTAGCTATGTATCCATCAGGTTGAAGAATTCTGCAATAATCAAGCTATACATTAACTCTTTTCTGAAGCTTGGAAATATTCCAGAGAGGAACACGGTGAAAATATATTTAGCTAATTTAAAGGCGTAGGCTTATATTGCGGGCGTGTGCATGTGTGTGTATATGTGTGTGTGTGTGTGCATGTGTGTGTGTGTGTGTGTGTGTGT